ACGAGGTTTTCTTGAATTTGAGGACAAGGAGGACCAGCCGAGAAGGACGGAATCTGCACCCTCGCTGCCAAAAAAGACTCTGCCACTTCCAAGAAAAGCTGAGGATGATGCAGCACTTTTCATGATAGCCCCCCCAGCCTGTGCAGGTAGAGGGCGAAGCGAGATGCCTGACACTGACCTTCCGTCCAATTGGAAATGGACGACCACCATATTCCCCGACGAAAGAACAAGAAGCAAATCCCCGGTGCTGTCAGAAAGATGCTCCACAACGCACCCTTCTAGCCGAAGTGCGAGGTCTGACTGATCAACCATGGAGAATGCTGAGACTTGTCTGGCGAACTCATTGACTCCAACCGCATTAGTTTTGCCTGCCTGATCGACGTGCACTAATTCATTGGACCCGATAAGTAACGCGCCTCCAACTGGAGGCGGAAGGGCAACCACCTTGAACAAGTCGCTAGGCAATTTTGGTACCGAAAGTAAAGTCGTGGAAGCTCGCTGTTCCAAATCTAGTGTAAACACAGTGTAAAAGATAGAATCTTTTCTTTCAGGGAGCAAAGCATGTGAAGTAGCGATCTGCGAGTACAGGATGCCGAAAGTCGGCTCCCTATATTCATATAAGAAGGCAAGACTGATAGGGTGCAGTATAGAGGGATCCAATGCAGTTAAGGGCAGCACAAAGGACGAAGCATATGGGGTCTGATAAACGGTGCGATCTTTGTCCTTCAAATCATTGCCAACGTGATCCGACACTTGACTGAGACCGTCTTGATGAAGATCGAATTCGTAGTCGTCCATGGCTAGGTCATCTCCTGGTTGATGAAAGGGTAAAATCGCAAGATTTCGAATCCCAAAGTTGAAGACTGCGCATCTACTGCTCGGATCCACACTCAGGATACTGCCACAACTGCTCAGATCGGGTACCCATGGACTACGGGTTAGATCATCCCGCTCATAGTAATGGATTGAAATAGTTGAGATCCCACGACGCTCTGGGTCCCATTCCACCAAGCTAAGTTTGGCATTTCGAAAAGCAAGTAAAAGAGCTTCACCACCGCTCTTAGGATTCAAAATTTTGACCCGACAGATGTCGACTACTGTTCCAGGAAGCGGATATTCTCGCTCCAGGACGAGCTTCGTCGTCTCTAACTGGTCTGGCCGCGCTGACTTACCCTCAATAGTTCCACCTCTCGGGTGATGTTGAACCTTGAGCAAGGAGAAGATTTGGAGAATAGAGGTCTTCACCACGACCAGATTATCCGCTGTTGCTGAGATAAATGGAATTGCCAGGGCATGAGTTACCCCGGAAGGGGGTAACAATTCTGTATAGCACTGCATATTTGTGTGGCTGATTGCTATGGTTTTCCCTGCTAGAAACCTTTATCAACCTAAAATTGTCCAGGAAGGATCAAGAAGACTATACATTGCAAAAGTCAAGGGCAAGAATTGGGATTTAGAGAATGAATGAAGGGTGGCCATAGGCTGATAATCTATATAACTAAGTCTGTGTCGATTATTTTGCTAACCCTGCGGATCTGACACGTGACCTGTCGGGCTTGTTATGTTGATGATGTAATTGATAATATCCATGCCCCTGTAGAGTTGTGTACTCAGTACACCATGATGGCTCACCGTTGTTAGCACCTTTATCACAATCGCTGATCAAAGAACTTCTGAAATATAGTGCGTTCTTACTCTACAGAGCCTATGGACTATCTATTTTGCTAACGCTAACATATATGGCAGCATCGTCACCCTTTAGCTTAGTTGGATTTCTTGAAGGCTTTGCAGATATGCCACAATGCCTCTCCCACGGATCTCCCTGATTTGGTTTGCGTATCTAATAGTGATAATTGGCTTAGTTGTTGTTGCCTCGATCTTTATACATGTATATCAGACACCTCGGGATCGATCCTCATTTGTGACCTTTATGTGCGTCTTTTCCATTGCCGCTCTTCTTGCGACTGTAATGTTACTACCTGTTGATGTCGCTTTGGTTTCGTCAACGACATCATCCGCTCTGGGTCAGCGAAAAGAGTGGGCCACCCAAGAAGAGGTGGATAAAATTACCTACTCCTTAACAGTTGTTTATTACTCGCTATACTTCCTGGATGCTCTGCTCTGCCTTGTTGGAATCCCTTTTGCCTACTTCTGGCACGAGGAATATGATGAAGTAGCCGTCGAGACGGGCGATCAGACAGCCTGCAAGCGGTTTTGGGCTTCTACCAAATACACCCTAGCTTTCGTTGCAGTAGTCATTGCGTTGGTTCTTGTCGGCTTCTTCGCTCCTATTTTGGAGAGTCAACCTGGGCACGATCTGGGGTATTGGCGAAGATTTTTGATCGAGAACCGTGAGTTTGATGACATTTTGGATGACGACTTTCTTCTCAAAACGCTCATGATGTCCTACAGGAGGTGAACATGCTTTTACATTTCTCCTCGGGTTCGTAACAACCATTGGCTCTTGTCTATATGTCTTCTATACGCCTTCAGGGCTAGCATTGCTTCCGGCGCTCCTTCTCAGAAAACCCCATTCTTTCGCAAACCAAACATTGGCAGGTTCTACAGCCATGCAACTGGATTTCAACCGTGAACGGCAACGCCAATTGGAAGGCCGCTGCGGGGGGAATTCGGCGCTTCTATCTCCAAAAGACCGAAGAGAATTGGATACTTTGGTGCGGGAGGAGAGGACTCTCATCCGCCGGCAGCGCTTGATCGAAGGTCGCCAAGAAGAAGACCAAAGCTGGCTTGTCACCATCTACTCCAAACTGAAGGCTATTCTCCGTCCATTCAGGCTTCTGGGCGGCTTCTGTCTATTCCTCGTTGGGCTTTCGACCTGGGTTTCATTGCTCATGACCGTTATTGATAAACTGACAAATTCGCCTTGCAAGCATCACTGTGGTTATGTACTCAGACGTACCAAGTTCAACCCTATCAGTTGGCTTCTTATTCAATCTTCCGGGGTTTTTCCAACTGACTATATCATTTTTGCGCTTATTATCTTCTTCTTCTTTTGGGGTTCGGTCGTCGGCGTCGTGGCAGTGGGCATTCGGTTTCTTTGGATACGAATTTTTCAAATTAGGAAAGGTCGCACGTCGCCCCAGGCCATGTTGCTGGCGACAGCCATGCTGACGTTGATAACCCTGGGCTTGAATTACTCGGTCGTCATGATGCTTGCGCCTCAGTACGCGACATTTGGACCACAAACTTTCTGCGACTTAGTCCCGAGGTCTTCGGAAGAGCAGCCGAATTGCTCAAACCACAGGCATTTGGTCAAGCCATGTTCAGAGAAGGGAGATAGCACAGCTGCAGATAAGAGCTGCACGCCCAGCGTCGCAAGCACCATTTTAAACCGGGTGGCGCTGAATTTTCCACTTTTTGGTGCCTTGCTGTTTTGGGCACACTTTCTTTTCCTTGGTATTTGGTAGACCTGTCACAAGGCACTATTGTGTCTTATGCTGCATGCTTGGAAGCTAACAATTGTGCGAAAAATAGGTATCTACTTAGTCATCCTCGTGGCTTCTGTCGTCCGCTCGCCGAGACTCGACGAACGCCAGCTGGATGAGGACGCCGAAGAGGCCGAGGAAGAAAGTCTCTTAGCAAGCACCGGAAGAAGTGGCAATCTTTCTACATGAGGGGGCGTCCCAACGCGTCCAGAGAGTCCGCTACTCCGAATAATGGAGGTTTATTTAGAAAAAATTATCCTGATTCAAGAGGTGATGACAAGGAAAAGACAGCGGATATGGTGATTCTCGCCAAATGATTATAGTCTTACTTCACGTGATTTATGGTTTACCACTCAGGTTCCCTCATTATGTTCCCCTTCGTGACAGTCGGAGTTTGCGAAATGCGGTCGTCGAGCCTTCGTATGGTAGCTTTCAAGTGGTCAGGTCTGAGCTCCGAGGAGCCTCTCTGGGCGGGTCCTTCAACTTAGTATACCTAAGGCTTTGGGGCATTGTTCAGCAGAGCGAGAGCATTTTCGAAAGCCTTCACGACGTCGGCATCTGCATGGCTATGTTAGCACGGCTTGGCTGGCGGCAGTTGTTGCAGTCTCGCACAATGTTTTCTCCTATTTTCTAAATCCTCTTCGGAGGTCTGCACATGCTGCGACTGGGTTTTAAATCTAGACATAGGTCAGCTGAACTGTCGCCGGGCTGTACGGGTACGGGCCGAGACCTTTTCAGCGCTCTGGTTTCATCACGAAGAACAGCAGACTGTGACCAGGCCGTAAAAATCTAGAGCAGCAATGTCAGAGAGATGGGTCATGGCTTAGAAAGGTACAAGGTACCTCAAGAAGCCTCAAAGATCGGGCTCGCAACTCTTCCTCAGTATCCCCATGTTGTTTCATAATATCTGAGTATATTTGTTGAAGTTTCGCCCAGTGGCATTGTGACAAGTCTTCTGCTAACTGCCGTCTGACTTGTGGAACACTATGATGCTCACCCAAACTTTTCTGCTGAGCTTGTCTGGATCCATGATCGCCGTAGTCAATAGATTGGGTTCCACCCAGTGAATCCATCGTTACATGCAGTGCCTTATCACGACACTTCTTTCCGAACGTGGTATAAATAGAGCGAGAGAGAGAAAGTCAAAAGTTGAACGAACGATTGATTGCTCGTAGGATCTAAATTTCAAACAGCTCGTTTTACCATGCTGTCACTCCTGCCTCAATAACAACGTGCTTCAGCATTGAACGGTTCGTGGGAATCACCAGCTCTGCCAGTGTAGCAAAGCAGAATGCGTTGCTGCCTGAGGTATCTAATATCAGTATTATCATGTGACGTCAACCTTCGAGGACATACCGCACCCTCCAACTTGGCCTGCTACAAGAGCGTTTGACTGCTGGGAGTCATGAAGCATCATTTTGTTGAGTCCATACACATTTCTGACACCTATGAGTTGCCTAGCAGGCAGATTGGAGATTCATAGACTAACAGGAGGGCGCAAGAATGTGAGCTATCTGCCGACGGCACGATAGCACAATAAACAGTACGTTTGAGATGAATTGTCCTATTTGCTCTCGAGTCTCAACCTCGCGCCTACGCTTTTACTGTCCCACGTGTGCCTGTAATCAACTATACACACTACGTATCGATAATGCCAAGGTTCTCCTGGAGAAGGAAACCTTAGGACGGCAGCTCGAGAAAGCTCTGCATCAGACATCTCCTACTCTCTCCCATCGTCGCTCTGAAGAATGCTCAACGCAGTTGCCGAATAAGGTGTCCAACCCTCAAAAGGTCTTGCAAATTATAAACGCAAAAGCCGAGTCTTCCATCAGGAGAAAACAGCTTGGCCTTCAGATCCAGCAACTGAAATCCGAGATTAAAGACAGGCAACTTGGCATTTCTCAGCGGAGGTTGACATTAGCACGACGACGTTCAGATGCCGAGTCTTCAAAGTTTCAGCTGGAAACTCGCGAGATAGCTATGCTATGTGGTGTTCAGAACACCATCAAAAGGACGGAGCATCTCTGGCATTCCTTGCACAGCAAGACAGCTGAGGCTCGGATCTTTCTTTGCCGGGAGGTTGCGAATCTATACAGCTTAAGGCAGTGGATAAAGCAAAATGGCAGTGAAATGAAGGAGACATACGTAATTGGTGGTGTCCCTATCATAGATCTCCGAAACCTGAACGGGAAGTCGCAAACCCTGCCCCTCCTCCTGGATATGCCAACACGAAATATTAATGCCCAAATAGGTGCCACTTCAGTCCAAATATCAACATCCTTCTCTAATATTGCTCATCTTCTAGTCCTCGTTTCACATTACTTATCTTTGAGGCTTCCGGCGGAGATTACCCTTCCTCATAGAGACCATCCCCTTCCCACGATTCATGCACCTATTGGGTCGTATACTTCACGGGACTCGATCTTGACAGCCACCTCAACGCAGCCCCATAACCCCCCTTCATTTACGACACACTCATTAGGCTTTCAGTCTAATCATCATCAACCTCGACCTCTCACTATCGATAGAAGTTTACCAAAGCTCGCAAGGGAAGACCCAAGGTCATACGTCCTTTTCCTAGAAGGAGCTACATTGTTGGCCTGGAACGTTTCCTGGCTATGTCGTACGCAAGGACTCAATATCGCATCAGACTCTTGGGAAGAGATTTGCGACATTGGGAAGAACATGTGGCAGCTACTTGTTGCTCCTCCGCTGGAAGCGGCAACTCTGATGAGAGCATTTGCTGGTCGAGAAACGCAACCTATGAAGCTCTCAAGAGACCCTCCTAGAACTTCTATCCAAAGGACCATATCGTTCCCCATGATGGGGCATTACTCACATGGCACCGTGCATTCATTCCTGGGTGCTTCAGAAGGCACGGAGTTCGTTAGGACGTGGAGATTGCCAATCCCGCTCAAGGTTGTCGACAAATTAAAATCAATGCTCCTGGGAGAGATGGCGAGCGCGGAATGGGAAGTTCTCGAGGAGAAAGAGTGGAACGATAGCGGGCAAAGTTCAACGAGAGCATCAGTCCAAGGGTCGCGGTCGCAGCCTGGAGACGATATAACGCCAGACAAGAATTACGTCGGTCATATGGCATCAGCAAGTGGTGTTCCCAATGAATTAGATAGCACCAGCCGTCCACGGGGAAGTAGTGGCTGGACTAAATTGAGAAATCGATAACCTGTTTGTGAGTGTATTTGTGAGCCTAATCATTACCCACTCAACGAGTTGCCCTGAATGAGGAGATATTGGATAGGAAAAAGCTTGAATGAAAGCAATTATTGTTGAAGAGGCATGATTTAAAGCTTGCAATATTGTTCACCAACGTAGCTCTAAATGCAGACGGACCGAAGCACCATTGAATGAATGCCTTTTCGAACTAAAAGAGAAGAAATAAAACCAACATTAACCAAGAGCATTGAATGATAAGTGAGTTTGCAGCAAACTCGAAGATCTAATGATTGATAAGATAACAAGCATCCACACCCGGATTATCCTTTCACCTTTCACTACTAATCCGAGCCGCATAATAATTGCTACGTACTCCATACAAAGACAGGTAGGACTTGCTCGTTTCATTTCTGGCTCGCAACTCCCGCCTTATTTATTGGTTTGACAATGGTCACTGTTCCTTAGCACACTCTTCCTGCTCTCTAGTGTCGCCACTCAAGCTTGGCAATTGAAGTACAGAGGCCTGATTGTCCTAATAGTGTGTCAACCTCACTCTGTTCGGGTCATGGCATTGATCAAATCTTAAGAAAGGCTCGGATCAAGATGGGCCAGCTTACGCAATGGCTACAATCTGAGATGGCAGCTTCTGGTAAGTATTTTCTAATTCATATATTTCATACTCATATCACTTATGGAGCTCATTTGCATTATTAACGATCCTCTGGTCGCTGAAACTTCGGTGTGGTAATGATTTTATCAACTAACACCCTGTCGTTGTTGCAGCCCTCAATCGAAGTAGCCCTCTACTCTCAGACTTACCTGATTCCGTTCTCCGGGCGGAGCTTATTCGGAGGAGCGAAATTCAGGGATCGACCAGCGATCGAGTAGCTTGTGGTTCGAAGGAGAAAGGCGCTTACAACACCCAAATACATGTGCTGGCATTGTTCCTTATCCTGGTTTTGAGCACATTAGGTATTGTTTACACCTGGGAACCTTTGGTACTGTCCCAGTTATGCTGATCATATATTAGCATGTTCATTTCCAGTTCTCGCACGTCGATTTCCGCGGCTACCGATACCGCGCCACTTTCTCTTTATCTCCAGGCACTTTGGAACGGGGGTTTTGATTGCCACAGCTTTCGTTCACTTGTTACCCACGGCATTTGTCTCTCTTACGGATCCTTGCCTTCCTCGGTTTTGGTCGGAGACCTATCGTGCAATGGCTGGATTTGTAGCCATGATATCGGTTTTCGTGGTTGTCGTCGTAGAGATGTTTTTCGCTACGAAAGGTGCTGGTCATGTTCATGGCAGCGAGTATGATCACCTGATTGGCAGCGTTGGGCGGGGATCTAGCGAGTCTATTCGTGATGACGCAAACTATCTGAGGCTTCGCCGTCATCACTCGACAGAGAACCTGCGCCTTGATCTCATTCAACCGAATAGTTACCCCGATGGAGCGCTGGAGCACTCCTGTTCATTGTCCCGGGTGTCAACAGATCGTGTCGAACAAGGACGGTCTGAGACAATGAACCCTTACAGTGAAAGCGGTGACACTGGCTTTGGGGACATCGATTCTCTGGACAATCACAGTGATTCTCAAGTCTCTGACTCGCATCCTCGCTATCTACAATCCCAACAACGTGATATGCATCAAAAACCGAGTCCTGTGTTACCAATGCAAAGCCCGCAGCGCCAGTTGCTGCAATGTCTTCTCCTCGAGGCTGGTATCCTCTTCCACAGTATCTTTATCGGCATGGCACTCAGTGTCGCCACAGGGACGTCATTTATTGTCCTTCTCGTGGCTATCTGCTTTCACCAAACTTTCGAAGGTTTCGCCCTTGGATCGCGTATTGCATCTTTGATACCAGATCTTTTTTCACCGTCGTCGCCCAAGCCATGGCTTATGTCCCTTGCGTACGGAACTACAACACCTGTTGGACAAGCTATCGGCCTAGTTTTGCACAATCTCTATGACCCTGCAAGCACCACGGGTCTGCTCATGGTTGGCATCACCAATGCAATCAGCAGCGGGTTATTACTCTTCGCAGGGCTTGTAGAACTTTTAGCGGAGGACTTTCTAAGTGAGTCTAGCTATGCGACACTCAGGGGTCGGCGGCGTGTTGAGGCCTGTATAGCCGTCGCGAGCGGGGCTTTGCTGATGGCGTTCGTTGGCGCCTTTGCCTAGATTTTGTCTGAATCTGTATTATATCTTTTTTTGTAGATATTGATTGATATATGGCGTAGACTGGGTACAGCTGCTAGCCGTCATGTGTGATACATTCCGTAGACTTGGTTTTTACATTTTCATATGACTTTCTCCAGCTTTATGTAAGTGTCCAAAGGCTCGAGTCAAATGCTCTCTAAACATCAATGCGGAGTCAGAACCGAGGGCTTCGTGTGAATGGTTTAAGATGTTCATCATGCTACTTTTCGTCAAAAAAAGAGCTCATATTGGGTAAAAGCACGCATGCCTTGACACGATCAATTACCTTGAGGGATCACACTTCACCGAAAGATGGCGTGAACCACATCACTCTAAGCTCAGGTATAATCAGCAAAACTAGTCTAGTAGACATTTCTAGTCATTTCCTGAACAACCACGGCATACGTATATTCCGGCACAGAGAGTAGCGACTGAAGCTGATCGTTCATGAGCTAGGGGATATAAACGTTTTCAGGCAAACGATCCTAGGACCACAGATCATGTGCACGCTATGATATATGCAGTCGACACATATGGATATGGTCAAAATCCATCTAAAGTAGCTCGACCACCAGAGCACTAGCTCCACCGCCACCGTTACAGATGCCAGCACAGCCAAATTTTCCTTTCTTGGCCTTCAAGACACCGAGCAAGGTGGTTAGAATACGGGCACCACTAGCACCGATAGGGTGGCCGATAGCGACTGCTCCACCATGTAGGTTAACCTTTTCCTCGGAAATGCCAAGTAACTTCATATTGGCGAGAGCGACAACGCTAAAAGCCTCGTTGATCTCGAAAGCATCAATGGCATCCTGGCTCACACCTGCGTGTTTGAGCGCTTTCGGAATTGCAAGAGCAGGAGCAGTCGTGAATTTGCTGGGTTGTTGGGCAGCGTCTCCCCATCCAAGGATCTTCGCAACCGGCTTCAAATTGAGTTCCTTCAACTTAGCCTCTGAAACAAGGACAACAGCAGCAGCGCCATCGTTGAGGGGAGAAGAGTTAGGCGCCGTCACTGTTCCAGAACCAGGTATAAACGCAGGCTTGATGGCTCGAAGTTTCTCTGGGTTGAGCTACGGACTCAATGATCAGTCTGACAGGAACGCAACGCGTTGGATGGAGGTGCTCACATTCTTCGGTTCTTCGTCTTGCGTTACAGTCACACCTGGTTTTCCCCTAAATCCAGGAAGCTGGACAGGGGCAATCTCTTCGTCGAAAAGACCAGCCTTCTGGGCTGCCTGAGCTTTTTCATAGGTGCGGATAGCATAATCATCCTGTTGTTCCCTGCTAAAACCATGATCCTGGGCACACTCCTCCGCTTGTAGACCCATGAGTTCCTGCTTGCCCGCGTCAGTCAAGCCGTCCTTCATGATGCCATCCACCAGACTCTGATGGCCGTATTTAGCACCAGTACGCAGATTTGGGAGATAGTGTGGTGCGTTCGACATCGATTCCGCACCGCCAGCCACAACAACATCGGCATTTCCGGTCATGATAGTTTGGGCACCGAGGATGATCGCCTTCAACCCGGACGCGCAAACCTTGTTGACAGTGGTACAAACGGTCGACTCTTCAAGCCCAGCACCAAGCGCACACTGCCTAGCGGGATTCTGTCCGACACTATAAATGACATTAATACCCGCTTTTGTTAGACTCAGAACGCTCACACAGGGCTCGGCTCACTTTGCAGAAATGACATTACCGAAGAAGACCTCCTGGACGTCCGAAGGCTTAAGTCCGTCAACTTTGGCAAGAGCAGCTGTTTTCTACCATTAGAAAGATCGAACCCATTGCCCATTGCGAAAAGGCCCTATGAACTTATAACATACCCTTGATGGCATGGGAACCAAGCTGTGGGGCAGTCAAGCTTGAGAGCGAACTATGCCGATGAGACAAAGGTCAACCTCACTCTTCAAGTAAAACAAATCACGAACTATGAAGTCCTACCCCAAGAAAGATCCCACCGGAGTTCGGGCGGAGGAAACAATATAGACAGCTGGAAGCGAAGACATAGTCGTTTGTTCTTCAGACTTTCTGAGTAGCAAAAGAGTTCAATCGATACTTTGAAGAGGGCACCGCGACAATAACGATTTGCTGGGTGTCAGCCTTGAGGTCTTTCCTCCGAAATCTAGACCAATTTATAGAGAATGTCTCCAAAAGATGCCAGATGAAGAATCGGGCGAATCCAGAGTGGGGATTGTAGGGAAATATAAGCAGAGAGGTCAACCTCCCTTTTGATCAGAGCGGGGGGGCGGACATTCGCGTGTGGTAACTCAAAGGGCCAAGCCCGGGCCACTCGGCGAGTCCCCAATTCGGACCTTCCGAAGTTTGAGACAACCTTTTTTGGTTTGAGCAAAGGCATCCGCTCCAACGTTTGGAGCCAGATCTGTTCAGCTTCAGAATTTATTCGCGCAATGGAGGATCTTTATGATGAGTATGTCATACGGAATTAAATATTTATGCAAATAGATCTCAACTAACCTGGCTCTAGGTTCGGCAATTACATTGGAGAGCCTGCGGACTCTGACGAGGAAAATCAAGATGAAGATCTGAAGCCGCAGGCATTTGCTTTTGACGAAGCATTTGGGGAGGAAGAAGAAGAAGACCAGAATGCAGATCAATTGATGGAGGTTGATGGTGTGTCATATTTTCGAAGCATTACTACCTCACTCGTTCTGACTTGGTATGCAGAAGGCCCTTCGAATGCGGTCGTCCTACATGAAGACAAACAATATTATCCTAGTGCAAAGCAAGTCTACGGTGACGAGGTTGAGACCTTAGTCCAAGAGGAGGACTCGCAGCCACTTTCGCAACCCATAATCGCTCCCGTTCAGCAGAAGAAGTTTTCGATCGAGGAGGCCGAGCTGCCACCCGTTCATTTCTCGCGAGAGTTTATGACAGACTTGCTCAGTTTTCCTAATCAAATAAGAAATATCGCGCTTGTTGGCCATCTTCATCATGGGAAAACAGCTTTTATGGACATGCTTGTGACGCAGACGCATGATCTGACAGAGCGTCTGGAGAAGCGAGCAGGCAAGCGGAAAGAGGAACAGCTCCGCTATACCGACATTCACTTCTTAGAGCGAGAGCGGGGTCTCTCTATAAAGTCGGCACCTATGACTTTACTACTCCAGAACACCAAAGGAAAATCTCATCTTTTCAATATTATTGACACTCCCGGCCATGTGAACTTCGTGGACGAGGTTGCCACATCGTCTCGGCTTGTCGACGGAATTGTGCTGGTTGTGGATGTTGTCGAAGGCGTGCAAGCAAATACGGAACAGATCATTAAGCACGCCGTGCTGGAAGGTCTTCCCATAACGATGGTCGTGAACAAGATGGACCGGCTGATTTTGGAGTTGAAGATTCCGCCGAATGATGCTTACTTCAAGTTGAAGCACGTGGTCGAAGAGGTAAACACTATTATCGAGAGGATTCTACCCGGACAAGGGGAAAGGTATCGGCTGAGCCCTGAAAAGGGTAATGTTGCCTTTGCATGTGCCTCCATGGAGTGGTGTTTTACCCTACAGTCTTTTGCCAAAATGTATGCCGAAACTTATCCCCAAGTCGAAACGTCTGACTTTGCTTTGCGTCTTTGGGGAGATATTTTCTTCAACCCAGGAAGCCGAAAGTTCACTCGGAAAGGAGTGGAAGAGAATTCCAAAAGGACCTTCGTTCAATTCGTCCTGGAGCCTATTTATAAACTCTACTCTCACACCATAAGTGAAAGTCCAGATGACCTGAAAGAAACGCTTGCGGCTGTGGGTATCAACTTGAGACCGTCGCAGCTCAAGTCAGATGCAAGGGTGCTACTCAACATGGTCTGCCATGAATTCTTTGGTCCTGCGACTGGTTTTGTGGATATGATCGTACAGCATATTCCCTCACCAGTAGAAGGAGCCCAAAGAACACTCGACAGATACTATACCGGCCCTCTTGATACGAAAGTCGCGGCCGCCATGGCAGCCTGTGACCCTGATGGGCCGCTTGTCGTCCATGTCACAAAGCTCTTTACCAGCACAGATGCTACCAAGTTCCATGCGTTTGGGAGAGTCATGAGCGGGACAGCGCGCCCTGGTCAGCCGGTCCGCGTGTTGGGCGAGGGCTATACACCTGAGGATGAGGAAGACATGGTCACAGCAACTATATCGGATACATGGATTGCAGAGACCTGCTATAGCATCCCGACCAGTGGTGTTCCTGCGGGAAACTTCGTTCTGTTAGGTGGTGTGGACAATTCCATCGTCAAGACTGCCACAATCGTTCCCTTGCGGCTGGAAGATGACGAGGAAGCATACATCTTCAGACCTGTTCGGCACATGACACAGTCTGTCTTCAAGGTTGCTGTTGAGCCGGTCAACCCATCAGAACTTCCCAAAATGCTCGACGGGTTGCGCAAGATTAATAAGAGCTACCCTCTCATCTCAACGAAAGTAGAAGAGTCCGGTGAGCACGTGGTCTTGGGAACCGGAGAACTTTACATGGATTGCGTGCTCCACGATCTTCGAAGACTTTATTCGGAGATGGAGATCAAAGTGTCCGACCCAGTCACTCGTTTCTGCGAAACTGTCGTTGAGACTTCGGCTATCATGTGCTATTCTATCACCCCAAATAAGAAAAATAAGATTACCATGATTGCGGAGCCTTTGGATGATGGGATTGCCGAAGACATCGAGAGCGGCAGGGTCAGTATCAAAGATCCAATCCGCAAAGTAGCGAGGTTCTTTGAAGACAAATATGATTGGGACAAACTCGCAGCTAGAAGTATCTGGGCTTTCGGCCCTGATGAAATGGGACCCAATATTCTACAAGACGACACCCTACCATCGCAAGTGGACAAGAAACTACTTGGAAATGTCAGGGATTCTATCACCCAAGGTTTCAGCTGGGGCACGCGGGAAGGCCCTCTTTGTGAGGAACGTAAGTCTTCTTTTTCTCTTTTTGTTTACTCGGTCGTTCTTTCTTTCTTCCCAACGATGTCCCCCCTCCTTTCTCCTCCCTTCGAACTTCCCTTCCTCTTCTCCCCTCTCACAACCCGCGTTTTTCTTCCTGTGGAGGCACTTCCTATATTTTCAAACCATGACCAGACATGAAGACTAATTTGGAGGCAGCAATACGAAACGCGAAGTTCAGGCTCACAGATGTATCTCTTGCCGACCAGGCTATTTACAGGGGAGGTGGCCAGATAATCCCTACGGCTCGACGTGCCGTTTACTCCTCCTTCCTCATGGCATCACCTCGCTTGATGGAACCCATATATTCTTGCACCATGACAGGGCCTGCGGATGCTGTGGCTTCAGTATATACAGTGCTCTCACGCAGAAGGGGTCATGTTCTGTCAGACGGGCCAATTGCTGGGACACCGCTGTATACGGTGCAAGGCTTGATTCCGGTTATTGACTCTTTCGGGTTCGAAACGGATCTCAGAATTCATACTCAAGGTCAAGCTGCGGTCAGTCTTGTGTTCGATCGATGGAGTGTCGTTCCAGGCGATCCGCTGGACCGCGAAGTCAAGACAAAGCCACTCGAGATGGCGCCCGCGATGGCCACAGCGAGAGATTTTGTATTGAAAACGAGGAGACGGAAAGGTTTGGCAGAAGATGTGACAGTGAGTAAATTTCTGGAACCGGAGCTCTGGAAAGGTCTGAAGGAAAGTGGCGTTTTGGATTCGTGATGGGCCCGTTCCCTGCTCAAACCGAATGAGAACGGCATACCACAAGTATCGATCTATTATGTAGACGTAATGTCGAAAATCTGTGAAATAACGTATTGTCGAGTCAAAGAATAGGCCTGCGAACGCCACAATCTGGCGACACTGCGACGGAAACCTGAACTGGACACGCAGGTAACTTCTGGTTACTGGCATGTTTCCAGCATCTTGGCGATAACACCCATCAACGTTCCGTTTTCGAGTGCAGCTGCCACTCTTTCCTTATCACCAAGTTGCTTGTTAACTTCATCGGCAGTACTATGTGTTCCCTCCTTGATTCGCACGTCCACACGGAACCTGGGCGGAAGTGACTGCTCGAGCCGCACACGTACACCGAGACCGATAACGGTAGCCAGGCTACAGTGTGTGATTGTGGGGGTTATGAGGACTGTGACAGTGCGAAGAGGGGATCCGGGTACATGGGGAAGAGATGGCTTGATCAGAATATCTGCGAGTGAGACAACAGCTAGTGATCCCAGCGAAATTGGATGTTCTGGGTCAGATATGGTTGAGACAAGGTCTAAGAAATGATTAGCCATACATTCATGACTTAGTTCTTCCGAGTGCAGCCAAGACGGGACAAATCAAGAAGAAACCATTCACTTCTTACCAAAAATCTCTTGTTCGTCTATAGGCTCATCTGACAGGTCATTATCATCTTCAGAGTCTGTGTGTGAAATCAGGGAGAAGGAATCGCCCGACTGCCCAAGCGACTGAAGAGTGGAACTGAAAACATCAGTTCCATAAGCATAGGGCTTCTGCGGCGCCTTGGGTAGCCGAGTTGGCAGATCAGCGGCATTCAGGATTATCGGATTCGAGTTCTGCATTTCAGAGGCCATTTTTTTGTATCGGCAAGCCTGAGACTCGCCGGTTTCGTAGCGTGGAAAGAGTATGCTAAACTGTCAGCATTTACTACAGAAGAAAGAGTGGGGGAGGCAATTTTATGTAGTCTAGCCATTCTTCCACCAAAAGCTAGGTAGTTGCCAAGTTTCACCCCACCAAGTAGTTGGATAGATAAGAGCCTGCAAGCCTGCGAGAAAAAGTCTGCCACACCGGAGTAGATATCTACTATCTACTAGTCGACCAGTGACACAGGGACCCTGGTTCAAATCAGAACTGTGAGACCAATGAATTGGTAGACTGCACAAGTGTTATTTGTGTTGGTTACTCTAGACCTTGGTGGTATTGTGCAAAAAGACAACTCAATACATACATACTGACGACTATTCATCAGGTCATGTTCCAGAGGATGTTGAATCCATCATAGAGCGTCTTGTAGATGCTTCTCCAATAGAATCACATTACAGTTGAAGTCTTCTTTCACGTATTCTAGGTGGTTGTCTTCAAACCGATATGATGGCTATCTAGCCTTTGCTGCGAGAGGATAATCTCGATGTATGTTTAGATAGATCCTCCTGTTCTGTTGGAGCAAAACCTGAGCATGGCCCAGAGATGCCTCGACTAGCTTACCTCGAGATAAACAAGAGTAGAAATCAATAATGCACTGTACTCGACCTTCTCAAAGCAGCGCGGATTTCAAGGTTCCTAATATCCACCTTGGGTATTATTATTACTTACAATCTACCTACAGAGTAAGTGGTCTTGGACGAACGGGTATGAGGTTTTTATTAGTACTCCGTACTGAGCACTAAATCTACCCTTATCGGAATAATCAGCATTACCATTACCCCCTCAATACCTTAATCTCTCGGGTAGACTTGAATCACTCAATAGGCTTTTTTCCGCCCGCCCACATCTCTGCTGCACCCTCCACTCTCAAATCACGGATGATCATTTGACCAATTTCTACTAGACTAAGGAAGGTACCTATAGGGTATCTACCTTAGCATCTGTCTACCTCCTGAGCTCTGCCTCTGGGACTTGGTTCGTATGCAGCACCCCGCAGAACCTCGACAACCCCAGAAATATTTAGTGTGCGTGGCCAAGAGTTAGTAGCTGAAGTTCAAGCGCAGGCAAGTAGCAGAGTTGTCCTTCCATCATCTACATAATACTCAGAGTACCCTATCAATATGCTCATGTGGAAATTTGCATTGTCGCCGATCCCCTAGTCTAATCCTCTGATCCGTATCTCACTGCCCCTCGTTACCTGAATTCTCAGGTACTGCAACCCCTGTGGCTTTTGTATTTCTTGGCCGCCTGCCTGTATTGATTAGCCGTTGATCCCGACCTCGATCTTTGCTGCTGAAACCTGTCCGCTTTCGAAGACCATCTTCAATTGGGTGCGATGTCTTAAGTCAGGCTCGTGCACCTCCTTTGTCATCTATTATCAAGGAACCCTCGATGATACGCTGATGGTTTTGGACGACGATGCAAGCTGAGTGGGCCCTGCTATCGTGTTCCCGGTCTGTCTTTCATTGAACGGCCTGACATCCTACATCTCTCTACTATCCTTCAAGGAGCAATCTCAGCATCAGCTATCTGGTTAGTCGCAACAAGATACCTCCTGCCCAGTCCATCGGCGTATCCTGGCATATGCCTTGCGCCATTGAAGCCCCACGAGCCTCAAATTATTCCTTGACATTTTTTTCTTTTGGTACAGGGAGGCAATGGTTTTGTTTCATCGGTTGAATACATACTTGTAACTGCGATCTTGCACCTTTATCCTTTCGCCTTTCTCAAATTCCTTCTGGTTGAACAATAACTAATGGCCAAATAAGGGTACCTGCAGTGCAAATCTCAGCTACTGTCATACTATTCTCTACCACGTCAGCGCCTTAATGTCCGCAATTATTTCCTCAAGCTCTGATGGTATCCTGTACCAGATAAGGAGAAAGAAGTTTTATCATTTCTTTAGACCTTGCAACGCGTCCCGCAATTTCGAGAATAGCAGATCAAATCGCCTGGCATAATTGTTGAGAAGCCGTCGCCTCCGCACACTCAGGACAACACGCTGGCCACTGTTTATACATAGTTGCGGCGAATCTGCCGTGATACAGGGTTTTGGAGAGACAGGGAAGAGGTCATCTTATGGTTCTCGGCCAGATGGTCACTGATTCCGATTGTGAGTCTGTTTCATCCGGGCCGAATCGTTCAGGTCATGCTTTTGCTGACGTGCTCTCGTAGTGCGCTAGTCGGTTTCTGGCTATATCAATTCCCTCGTTCTACATACGAAACGCATGGTCCAAGCGATTATACATCGAATGTGACTGTGGAACTTCATCACACTAGTCATACTCTTCCATTAGCTACAGTCTCACCTGCCGAAGCTAGGGCCTTTGGTGATTCCGTTATCTGTCGCTGATTGATACAAGCAAGGCGGGTCTTTGCGGATAAATACTCACACAACAGATTTACTGCTTGGTCACGAGCGTAGACGCTGTGACTACTGGACTGAGTTGCCTCCACCTTTACGGCCTGATTGATCCACATAAAACAAGCATCACAATGCAAGGCTACGCTTTCTCGCCTTCGAATGGTCCTCCCAGAGAGGGGCACAAGAGTAAGTCGCCCTTTTGGAAGATCTTTTCGTCAATTCAGATGAATAACTTGCTCACAATGTAGACTATGTATTTGTTGATGAACATAATAGGCACAAGCGGCTGAAAGGTTTGTCATTCTTCTCATCTTTTTTTATATCCTCTTTTTACCTCCGGTCCCCACTTCAGTTCTGAACTATAGGCTGAGCATCGTTTGTTCCGGTTGTTGACTTATGCGTTGCTAGTAATGCGAGCCTGCAATGGCTGCAGAAAACGGAAAATAAAGTGTGACGCTGCCACAACGAATACCTGGCCTTGCTCAGCCTGCACTCGGTTGAAGCTCGTATGCGTTCCTCCTACCATTGGACAGGATAGCGACTTCCAGTCGGAGCAAGGTCTTGAGGCAACTTCAATGGGCTCCTTAGGAGCTTCTCATGCGACTTCAGCCTCGCATTATTCCTATACAATGCCTCAGAGTTTTGGCGCTGGACTCCAGCCTACTGCTGGAAATGGTCAGTCTTATAGCGACGGTGCCGGAATCATGTCTCAATATGTCCCCACTGGTCCCACCCAACACAATATCTATGAAGTACGATCATCGCATTTACCCGTGACAAGCCATTCCTTCCAGCATGCCCAAGTATTTCCCGCCACTCCAAATCATGGTCTTGACAACTCGAATACTGGCATTTTCTCGGACGACGATCAATCTACTGCCGAGAACCTTAGCGAGGTTCTGGGGGAATTGAAAATCGACGAAACTGGTATCGGTAAGATTGATAGCGTCAGTCCTTTGGCATTAAGAGAGAATGCTGATATTGCAAATCAAGCACCCTATATCCGACAACAACGAAAAGAGCGATTGGAAGCGGAAGCTCCAGTCCAGGATGAAATTGAGGAAAGACTGCCACCTCTAAGCACTGGGGCGGGCTCCACCATCCGTATCCCCCCGGAGCTAATGCCCTCGGATGACGAAGTGATGAATTACTTCAAGATTTACTTTAACGATATACATCCTTACGTTCCTGTGGTTCATCGGTCTCACCTCTACTACCAATGGCAGAATGAACGGAGTTCCATATCTCCTCTACTCCTCGAAGCACTTTTCGCTTGTGCCGGCAGGTTATCAGACGATCCGGCTCAGGGCGCACAGTGGCTCGCATTGGCAAACAGTAAGTTAGTCACTTTGTATGCGTTGCATGGAGCACAAACAGTAAATAACCAAAGCTCATACAACGATAGGACATGAGTCCAGTTTCATGGATGTACCACGATTAAGCACGATTCAAGCTTTGCTTTTGCTATTGAAAGCTCGAGAGTCTCTGCCAAAGAAGGGTTATTATTATCGTTCGTGGCAAACTGTGAAAACAATTGTGTCGATGTCGAAAGATTTAGACATCCATGAACATTACAACACACACGCACAGGGCAGACCTTGTGAGATGGATTCAGTGGAGTGTCTTGTGCAGACAAGAGTATGGCAAGCCCTCTTGGTTGTCGAAGTGATGATCGGTGCACCACAAGGTATGTCTATATCCTCTAATGTGACTTCGTTGGCTTTGACTGCTTTGACTGATCTCGTTAGGTCGATCGGATTACGGGGTAGATCCAGAGACCGTAGATATGCGGCCCACTCTAGATATCGAGGGCCTTGACCAGTTCGAAATCGACCGCTCGAGGCAATATGCATACTTTGTCAGAAACGCCTATCATATCCGTTTGATCACCGATATATATCACAAAATCAAGAAGCAGAAAGACTGGGGAGCCAATCCTCGATTTGTTGAAAAAAACCCCCTATTTACAGATTGGCTCCAAAGCCTTCCTCAAGACTTACAGATTAATTATCCTAGCGATGGCTCGCCGCCGTGGATACCCTCACATTTCGTGGGAAATATGCACTCGCATTGCCATCTCGGCATCATCTTACTACATCGACCACAGTTGTTAGCGTCCAAGTCTTTTGCGGCCGGCGGAGGATGGAAGATTCACATGGCGTTGTGCTACTCCTCCGCAAAAAGCCTGTGTAGGCTTCAGGAAGGTATCTTAGACCGGTTCGGCCTGCGCGGTCTACTGTTCATGCAAAGGGGTATCAATTTCGCAATATACTGCATTCTGACGTGCACTATGCTGCATCTGGTACGTGTAACGTGATCGTGCTATCTGGTACTGCATTAACTCTTCCAAGATTGCTATTACATCCCCTGATCCTCATTTTCATACGGATGCGAGGGACTACTTCACGCGACACATGCGTATCCTTGAGAAATGTTCTTCGGCTTGGCCTATGCCGGAAATACAGGCACAGATTGACTCCCTGCGGCTCGCGTTCTCCGCTGACATCAATCGCCCTTTTGAACTCAAACCTACATTTCCTTACGGGAGTCCCTCGGAACCGTACCATCCCAGCCCACCACTTGGGTCAAATTACCATGCTCAATTGAACCAGGTTCCAAGTAATGTGCAGAACAGAGTGTGTTATGCTTACCCAATGACCCCTCCAATCTCGGCTGGTACTGAGGACTCAAAGCCTGACTCATGTCAGCTTCAACCATTGGGAATGCTTGCACCGCACCCACATCACAGTCATTCGGTAGATGCTCCCTTAGTTGACGAAAATAACTGGGATCCCACTCGAATCATAAAGTATGTACTTCCCTGCCTGTTTCATTGTTTAAGAGTTGTTTGCTGACGTCTTCATCAGCCAATGGGACCTAGCATTCCCTGCCGGCCCGTCAAATGTGAGCACAAACTCGCCACCGATGGGCATAGACCATTCTACACAAGGAACCACTGGTGTATCGAACCAGTTTCCTGTTCACTATGAGACACATACGAAAGTCTCTTCGATCGCAGCTTCCCAACCTCTTCCTCAAACTCAGTTCAATGGACCCCCAGTCCTGTTCACGGCACGTGACTGGCAGCAGAGCGTTGCTAGTGTATATGATCCTAATGGCTTGAAGCGGAGGTGGGCACACTCATTTGATACTGGCGAGCAGAGTAACACCAAACGTCAGCGGTAAAAATCCTTGTGCTCATGTTCAATATGCTTCACCCACCTTCTTGGCTCATTATCTACAAACGTTTCATTTGAGCCTATAAGACGAATGTCATGGAGGATCGTGGCTTATTGGTCTCGTTCTCTCATTATTGGAATAGTACCTCTCTCACCTCTAGGCCCTGCAAATTGTAGGGCCACGGCTCCTATCATACAAGGCCGAGAGGGTCAGATATGCAGAGATTAGTGTGTCGACTTGCCAGCCTTATGGTCAACACTGTAGTATATAATTTCTGTTTGACCACAAGACATTTCATATAATACGGTAGTAACATGGTATGGTGGTAACTGGCATACCAGTCTCCAAAGTCCTAGATGTACCTAATGCAATCAAAGTCTGTATAGATCATTGTTCTTAGGAGAAAAACTCAATGCATAAGCTTAAAAACCTTGCTTGCATCGAGAAAGTCGCCAAATTGGGCTACAGAAAATGCCTGCGTATATGGACACCGGCCGGAAACAAATCATCAACCCTTCATGCTCTCGTCATAAGGGGATAGACAGGACAGATATCAGATGGAAAGCCGTGAGAAGAGATGATAACGAACTGCCATCCAACTCGGGTAAGTGAGAAAGCAGTGTCAAGAATATCGAACTGGGTCACCAAAATGAATCTAAGCTTACTAAGTCATCTGTACTTAGTTGCGCCGACAGATGCCAATACGTTCCTCCCGAGAACGGACAATTCTTGCTTTGTCTCCGGGTAATGGTTTCAATTCATCATTCGGGTCGATGGCAGTATGATTCAAGGTGCTTTTGACGGATTCATGCGCGTGGGCTTGAGTTTCTTCTCTGTGCTTGCGAAGCCGCAAGTCCTCAAGCTTTGCGACGTCTTCCGAAGTGATTGCGATAGCTGTAGGCTTGCGACGTAGCATTTTGGAATGTACACTTCAGGCAACTCCAAAGAAAAAAACTCAGATCTGAGTGGACTGGACACCACGTGATTGACACGTGATGAGTTTTCAATTCACAGCTACCCGTTTGTAATCAAATACAATACTCAAGAAATTTCTCATCATCGCCAAACACAGCGCGCAAAATGTTCCAAACGAAGTTGAGGTTTCTGGCGAGCTGCCGTGACCGGACGCCAGTTAATGGAATCACTACCTCTGTACGATACTTTACGCTCTCCCATCAGCAGGCAAATAATCACTCCAGTCAACGAAGTACGTGAAGAATATAGCGTGATGCACTGTTCCCAGTACGGTATCGTTTATTTCTCTTTTCTGATATTTGTGTCTTGACTGTACAGATCATCGCAATGCAGCAACTCTAGCTGAATCTCGGGTTTCTGCGTCCTCTTCCGCTGCCTCTGGGACAGTCAGTCATTCAAATGTGAATGTCGCTTCTCGTCGGAATTCACCCCAGCGCGTGATTGACGCAAGATCGCTCGCTGTTCCGAAGGCCGGCAGTCTACCGTCCAATATTATTCGGAGCCCCCGTTTTCAGAGATCTAGGACTGGAGTGCAAACTCGCGGTCGTAGATCCGGAACTATACATCGCACGCAGACTGCCGTACACAAGGGGCGGAAGCAGGGTAATGGGAGAGCACAGCGAAAGCGCACAGACGTTGAGGAGGTGGACGAAATCTCGCAGGCTGAGGTTGAAGAAGCATATGTCCAACTGTCCAAGGCATCCGTGCCTGCTCCTATTCGCTATACACCGCAACCCCCTGAGGCTAATTTGACGGAGACTTGGCCATCTTTACCGACAGGCGTCACTGCCAGGACTGCAGGAGTTGTCGAAAAGCTTTCTTGGCTGAGCGACCGCTTCCCGAATGGCTATGTGCCCCCTCATGAACTGGGCAAGCGACTTTTCGAAGGACGAAGCGTCCAATTTTTCAACCAGGATGAAAAGAATAATGCTGTGGCGGAGGCGCAAAAGCTTGCACGAAAACGTGCCGATACTCTCTCACAGAGAAAAGGAGATCTTGTGGAACCTGAAGATGTGGGTTTTAAGCAGATGAGTGCCCTGGACAAGAGAGCCTTGGTCGAAAAGCTTGTGCAAGGAAACTACCCAAAACTGGAGACAGTATTGGCCGATAAGCCATCTGTCCTTGCTGGGGTTGTGAAGAACCTCAATAATAATGAGACGTACCGGACTGCCGGAAAGAGTTCGCAATTTATCTCAAAAATCGAATCACTTCTTGCTTCAGGTCGCCCTGCATCCGCGAAGAGAATCTGAAAGCGTGCTGATGAAGGACGGCTCCGGACTGAACTGATTTCTCTTGCTTCAACTCCTATCAATATCCAGTGGCTACATTTTCTTCGCTTGTACCTATCTTCTGTATTTTTAAGGGGGAACCATTGGCTAAATATGCGACACTGGGAGCGAGTAGAGCTAGCATATTCGACAAAATAATAATCTGACTATACTCGTTCTAATGTCTTTTTTGCAGCATCAAACAATTCTTTCACCTCTTTCTGTCCCTTCTCTGCTAGCCGTTCCATGTGGTCCTGAGCTTTGCGAACGTCATCGGGCCTGGCTAGTTTCTTCTTCTGCATATCTTGAAGGCGCTTATGACTAAGACTCCTCGATTCGCGAACTGCACCAGCTGCCTTTTCCATGGCCGCTCTAGCAGCAACCACGGTCTGTTCACGTAATTCTTTCGTGGGCGGCGGAATCGATATATTCAGTTGAAGAATATTATGAGGATCAGGTTGTGGTGTTAGAGACAAACCGGAAGAAAGAATCGCAGAGGAGATCGGCTTCATATGCTAGGACGAAATTATTATTAGCGACCCTGAGTAGACGCCACGCGAGCTCAACAATTGGTTTGGATCTGACCGAAGTCCTACCTCTGCCTCTGAAGCCAATATAGTAACCATCCGCCCTCCCTTGGGAACAACCTGCGCCAGCTCACCCAGTCTTATTGTTTCCTTGCCTCCTTTGCTCAAAGACACTCGCAAATCTTCAAGTGCTTCCGTGTTGAAACGTCCACCCATGCGTAATTTGGAAAGCTCATCTTTGAGTCGGGCGACCGCAGCCACGATGCCATTTTCTAGCGAAGAAAGATCATAGGGATCTTCCGACAAAATGCTCGACTCTATGTTTGCCCCAGTGAGTTTCTGGGGCTTTTCTTTTTTCTTGCACAGAGAGGCAGAGTTAGAGAAGCTTCGAGTTGAGAGATTGAATCGCTTAGAAGGAGTCGGGAACCGCCAGGGTTGAGATGCGTCAAGCACGGCTGGGCTGAAATTCGCAGAATAAAAAGATCGAGGAATGTCAGAAAGAATTGAGAGCCTTTGTACCCGCTGCATCTTCTAGGATCTGCGTAGATGGTGAGCTGTTGGAAGTATTATTTGTAGCAAAAAAGTTGGGGATCTTAGGAATCAAAAACATACATGCTTCATCGAACACTAGCGCAAGGCCAATCAGAATATGATACCATTTTAAGCACACAAAGCACCTTTCCCGAGAAATAGACTTAACAGGCCTTTAATGGTGAAGGTGGAGTCATTATTCCAGTTTACTGATTAAATAGCAAAGGAGCATATGTATGGTTTGTATAAAGGGGAGTAAATTTTCACTGCCTCAACACCGCACACGTAGCGAGTCATAGCTTTTGACATCACCTATGATGTCTACCATATGTCTAAGCCAAAAAACAAATATTAAATTCGATAGAAGTACTAGGCTCATCAAATCATTAATTTCTTCCCCGGACGGATTTCATCTAATCTAGAATGAACTTTTAGATAATGTGCACCAAATCAAGGGACACAAGACATGAAAAGTGAAAAAAGAAAACGGAGGAGAAATAGAGCACATTTCCGACATTTCCGTACATGGATCGTTGGATATGGTTGTAACAAGCCCTAGAGACAAATTTTGATCTCTCCAAATCGCAAGGAAAGACATCCGCAGGGAACGGTAATACCGAGGTAGAGAACGAGACGAGTGACTGAGTGATAACAACTCAAGAAAGTTCGTAGCATTCAGATTACCGGGTGGCCATAGCCTTGGTGATGAGTCTCTTGAGCGCGAGTTCCTTCTTCTTGAAATCCTCAGGGGCAGAATCTTCAATCTCAAGTTGAGCCATAGCGTCACTCAGTGCAGACTCGATCTTTTCCTTGTTGCCGCGCTTGAGCTTCAGGGACATGGTAGGGTCTGAGATGATCTCTTCAACGCGAGAAATGTAAGATTCGAGCTGCTGACGAGACTCAAATTTCTTCGTAAAGGCCTCGTCGCTCGACTTGAATTTGGCAGCGTCTATAGCAATGTTAGATTTGCTTCTTTTAAAGGACACAGCGAGACAACGCAGTTAACATACCATCAATCATCTGCTCAATTTCCGTGGTGGAGAGCTTGCCGACGGCGTTGGAGATAGTAATGTTGGCGCTACGGCCAGAAGACTTCTCCGTAGCGGTGACCTTAAGGATACCGTTGACATCGACCTCGAAAACAACTTCGAGAGCGGCCTCGCCAGCCTTCATGGGAGGGATAGGAGCAAGAGTAAACTCGCCCAGGGAAGTGTTGTCTGCACAGTTCGTGCGCTCACCCTGATAAACTGGGAACTGAACGGTTGTCTGGTTGTCTACAACAGTCGTAAAGGTGCGCTTCTTGATAGTGGGGACGGTTTGACCGCGGGCAACAACGGGGGCGAAAATATTGCCCTCCATGGCAACACCAAGGGAAAGGGGAACGACATCCAGAAGGAGCAAGTCCTGAGTGTCAGCCGAGGTGGCCTTACCAGAAAGAATGCCAGCTTGCACAGCGGCACCATAAGCTACGGCCTCATCTGGGTTAATGCTCTACACCAAGGTTAGCTTGAGGACACAACCGGCAACGTTGAAGGATTGATGTCAACTGACCTTCTCAAGCTTCTTGCCGTCGAAGAAGTCACTGAGGAGCTTCTGGATCCGAGGGATACGAGTGGAGCCACCGACGAGCACAATCTCATCAACCTGGCTCTTCTCCAGGCCAGAGTCCTTGAGAACTTGTTGCACTGGCTCGAGGGTGCCAGAGAAAGACTTAGCGTTGAGATCCTCAAAGCGGGCACGAGTGATAGACGAGTTGAAATCCTCTCCATCGAACAAAGAGTCAATCTCAACAGAAGTCTGTGTGGCGTTAGACAGTGTACGCTTGGCACGCTCGCATGCCGTTCTCAAACGGCGAAGAGCCCTGGCATCGCCTGAAAGATCCTTTCCAGTCTTCTTCTGGAATTCCTTCTTGAAGTGTTCAAGGAGGTTAGTGTCAAAATCTTGTCCACCGAGATGAGTATCACCGGCTGTGGCCTTAACAGTGAAAACACCTCCTTGGATGTTGAGAAGAGACACATCGAAAGTGCCTCCACCAAGATCATAGATCAGGACATTACGTTCCTTTTCAGACCTTCCGGAGCCGAGTCCATAGGCGATAGCGGCAGCAGTGGGCTCATTGATGATGCGGAGAACATTCAAACCGGCAATGGCACCAGCATCCTTCGTCGCCTGACGTTGGTTATCGTTGAAATAAGCTGGCACGGTGATGACAGCCTTCTCGACCTTCTTTCCAAGCTTGGTCTCTGCGACTTCTTTCATCTATCGAATCAAAACATGTCAACGATGCACGAGAAGGATATATTAGGTAGATCGGCGGTATACCTTCATCAAGACCATAGAAGAGATTTCCTGGGGAGAAAACGTCTTGGTTTCACCAAGATATTCAACCTCGACAACAGGGTTGCCGCCCTGGTCAACAACCTTGAAAGGCCACGACTCGATATCCTTCTTCACAATGGGATCTTCATAACGCCGACCAATGAGACGCCTAGGTTTGTAAATAAAAGAAGCTTAAATGGGAGAGGTAGACAATGCAAGACTTGCTAGGTCCTCACTCACTTGATATCGAAAATGGTGTTCTTCGGATTCATAGCCGCCTGGTTCTTGGCTGCCTC